GTTCCAACACGAGGCGGGGGCTCTTGCGGTCGTTTGAAACGCTTACCGGGTCTTACTGCTGTTAGCGTCGTTACCGAGCGTTGTTAACGCTTGCTAAGGGATTCCTGGTTTGCAGATGCCCCCGGAAGCGCCGCGTTGCGCTTGACGACGGGCGAGGGTGCCATGGTGATGATAGCGGGAGGACAGGCTTGAGCGTGCCGCGAGAAAGTAAGAGACATAATAACCCGGCCATCAGCATCTCCTTTTGTTCTGGCGCTCTTGCCTCTTACCCCCACCCCCACCCCGTCTCTCCCTCCTGCCACCTTCACGAACACACGATGGCCGACGCGAAGAAGTCCAAACACGCCCATGCGCCGGCGCAGGGTCAGCCCGCACCACGCAAGGTTCGGTTCAACGTCGGTCAGTGTTTCCCGTTCAACTTGTCTCGGTCATCGTACTGAAATATACTCGTAAAGGCACCCAATACCAGGTTCTTGATGTCGTCGGCGAGGGAGCGTACGGTATCGTCTGCTCTGCCGTGCACAGACCATCTGGACGCAAGGTCGCCATCAAGAAGATCATGCCTTTCGACCACTCCATGTTCTGTCTCCGTACTCTCCGCGAGCTGAAGCTCCTCAAATTCCTCAGCGAAGCCGGTGTCAGCGAAAACGTACGTGTGCCTCCTAATTATGCTATGCGCATGCGCAGACTGCGGGGTATGAAACGGGGCTCGCATGTACATTGCCGTGAGCAGGTGTTGCGGGTGACAGGACCGTGGGCTGGGATCAAGATCCGGAGTGTAACCCTGGCTTGACGGGCTGGTTCGCTGTCGCGACTCTTGTTGGGATCGTCGGCTCGCAACATCCGCTTGCCACTGGCCAGTAAACGCGTCAACGGACAAAGCCAACCAGTTCGGGCATGCGGGACCGATTAGGCGCATCTTGTTTCGAGCGATGTTCGCCTCCGCGTTCGCACGCTTTCTATAGATCGCGCGTCTACTATGCTCTCGTTTCAGAATGCTCATTCTTCATGTAGATCATCTCTATCTTGGATATCATCAAGCCGCCATCACTAGACGCATTCAAGGAGGTATACCGTACGTGCTTGATCATCTGAGCTTGGGTCTGTAAACTGAGCTGCGGAACAGTCATCCAGGAGCTAATGGAGACGGACATGCACAGGGTCATCCGTACACAAGACTTATCGGACGATCACGCGCAGTACTTCGTTTACCAGACTTTGCGAGCGCTCAAGGCGCTTCACTCGGCTGATGTTATCCACCGCGACTTGAAGCCGTCCAACCTCCTGCTAAACGCCAACTGTGACCTGAAGGTCTGCGATTTTGGGTTGGCGCGCTCCGTCAAGACGGCCGAGCCGTCAGGAACCGAGACGGGCTTTATGACCGAATACGTGGCAACACGCTGGTATCGTGCGCCAGAGATCATGCTTACATTCAAGCAATACACGAAGGTCCGCTATTTCGGTCCGTTTCGCATGGCATGGCCAACTTACCGATTTGCCTAACAGGCGATTGATGTATGGTCAGTCGGCTGCATCCTGGCAGAGATGCTGTCCGGCAAGCCGCTATTCCCGGGACGCGATTACCACCACCAACTGACGCTGATCTTGGACGTGCTCGGAACGCCCACGCTCGACGAATTCTACGCCATCACGACCCGGAGATCGCGCGACTATATCCGCGCGCTCCCCTTCCGCAAGAAGAAGCCCTTTGCGACGCTCTTCCCTAACGCTAACCCGCTTGCCCTGGACTTCTTGACCAAGACGCTCACCTTTGACCCGAAGAAGCGCATCACGGTCGAGCAGGCGCTCGCACACCCGTATCTGGAGGCTTACGTGCGTCATTCGCCTCAGCCATTGGCGTCGCTGATATTGACCTCCTTCCGCAGCATGACCCCGACGATGAGCCCGTCGCACCACCACTTGACCCGGAGTTCTTTGAGTTCGACTGTGCGTTATGTCTTCGTCTCAGATTTCGCTTTTGCTGACATGCGCTGCAGTGCATAAGGACGACATCAGCCGGGAACAGCTTAAGGAGCTGCTTTACGAGGAAATCATGAGCTTCAACCCCGTGCCCATGACGGCGCAATGAGAGCCGCTGGCGGCAAAATGACGTTTCTTTGTTTGTTATCACTCATATACGAAACCCGGATGTGCCGCTAGAAGACGATTTGGCGTATAATATCCCCCCGAGTCCTCTGGTCGCTTGTTACCCCACTCTGCTGTGCTCCCTCCTCTCTCGCCCGGATTATCGCTCCACGTACCCCCCTGTCGGCCCTCGCTATTCCTTCGTTCAGTATCGATCCCTGTCACCGCAATTGTAATCTAAATAGTATGCATCGAGTGATCGTGGATGCATGCGAGTACGCTCGAGTCGTACGATGATCGAAGTGTTTGCTGTAAGTGGCCAGAGGTATACTGTCGCGCGGCCAACATAGAGGCACATGTATAGTAGACTGCTGCAGCAGTGCCGAGGGGAGGAGGCCTATCTATCCCGAAAGATCTCCTTTCTCTACCTGTCTCGCGCAAGAGGCCATACCACTGGGCACACGAGTGAGTTTACGTAGAATGGTCTATGATATACTAAGAAGAGTAGTAAGTAGTAACTTGACTCGCGAGCGAGTGTGGCTCGGATCTCACCTCAGATGTTGATTCGTGTTGATTCGTGTGGGAACGGTCACCTGAGTTGAGATTGCGCGCCACAGGCGTTCGCCGCACGGCAGGCATGCATCTTGCCTCCCAACCACCACCACCCTCCTTCCGCTCCCTCCCTCCTCCCTCCTCCCGTCTCTTTCTTTTCTCTCTCTGGTACACCCTCCGCTCAAAAACTCTGCGATGTTCTCCGTGCCCCATACCCCGGGTTCGCCAGGTTTTGGAGACGAATCGGGCATGACGCTCGTCTCGCCGTCACAACGCGATATAAAGCCCACCCTGGCCGAACTCGAAGCAATGTCGCCGGCAGAAATTGCGGCGATACAAGGAAAATTAAATCTGCGACTTGGACCCGAATATATTGCGCAACGGCCATCGCCCGGCGGGGGTGGGAAGCTGACCTATGTCGAGGGTTGGCGCATCATTATGCTCGCGAACGAGGTTTTCGGATACAATGGATGGAGTTCAAGCATCGTCAAACTTGAGACGGACTTCTGTGACGTTAATGAGGAGTATGGGACGAGGAGGGTGTCGTGTGGGATCAGTGCCATGGTTCGAGTGACGTTGAAGGACGGAACGTATCATGAGGATGTGGGGTATGGGACGGCGGATAATTTGAAGAGCAAAGGCGCGGCCTTGGACAAGGCACGTCATTTGTATACCAATACGTTTTGTCTAATAATCTTGTACAGGCGAAGAAGGAGGCTGTTACGGACGGCGTGAAGCGTGCCCTACGCAACTTCGGCAACCTACTTGGTCTCTGTCTATATGAAAAGCAATTCACGCAGGAAATAGTCAAGATAAAGGCTCAGCCCGTAAATATAATTCTCCAGTATCGAAATTTATGTACTTCACATCAGCTGATGCTCCATGCAGAAGAAGCTCGACCCTTCTGAATTGTATCGCAGCGCCGCCAACACGCCAGCTCCTAGCGCATCTTCACCCCAACCTGTAGCTGGTCCCTCCGCGCCTCCACCTCAGCAAGCACAACCGAAGCAACAGTATCAACAGCAACAACCCCAACAAACGCGACAAGATGTGAAACCGAAGCCAGCGAATATGCGCTCTGTGATTCAAGCGGCTGTTAAGGCCGCTCCGGATTACAAGGGGAAAGCTCCTGCAACGCCTTCGCCGCTGAACCCTGCACGAAACACTGGCCTCAATACCCCAAATTATACCCCTGCCGCGGTCGCAGCTCAACAGAGACCTCCTTCACGCGCTATGCCACCGCAACAGCAGCCTGATCGTGCATCGCCGTTCGCCGCTCCACCGCCGCGTCCTACCACAGCGCAGCCTGTACCTCTCTCTCAACCACCTCAGCCCGCTCAACCCGAACAGCGAGCACTTCCAACACGTGTGCCTTCTCCACCGCGCCGCGGGCCTTCGCCTCCTTCAGCAAAACCAGAAATACTGGAAGAGGCCGATTCGCTCGATTCGTTCTTCAACTCGGAAGACGATGCTATGTTTGCTGCATACGACGGCGAAGGCGTGGAGTCGCCCGGCCCCCCTCCGGCGCCACCACCTATACAACAGCCGTCGCGGACGCACAGTCAAAGTTCGGCTTCGGGACTCGGGCCGCGCACGCCGAGCCAATCTGCAGGTGGTTTCCGCTTTCCACAAGGCGCAGTGAGTACTCCCTTTGCGCCCTTCGTACGCTGTATTAACTTCTGATGTGCGGAAACAGCAACAGGGTGGTCGTCCACCGACTTCAAGTAGCGCCGGGCAGGCTCGCCCTCCCACGTCTGGCGGTGGGAATGCTAACTCGCGAACACCGCTGAACAACGGTCACAACGGCGCTCCGCGGAACGGCAACTGGAGGCAACACATACATTCTGCTGGGACCGTCACTGGTGCACCTATTGTGGCTGGTGTCAAGCGCAGTGCCGACGCCATGAACGTGTATGTCCGCGCTTTCCCCCGGTCCTTCTCTACGTATTGACGCCTTCCATAGACCCGCTAAACGACCTATCAACGGACAAGGGATGGGCCTTGCTCATCAGAATCAACGCCCGCAGCCTACAAGCCTCGAGGTTGGCGCAGGCGGGGACCCCAAGCGTATTCGCCGATGAACGCGGAGCGAACCGCGTCGGTCTTATCCCCAATGACGTTTTCACGACCACTCGATATTATGAATGACTACTAGACAAGGACCGTTTTCATGCAGATGCTCTTCTGTCCCTAACGTAACCTTCTGTATGCGTGTCCCCCTGTTACTTGTGGTTCATACGACCTTCGTTTGCCGGACCTTGTCAGTACGCGCTTTCCGGAACCTTGTCGCTACTCGTTTACCTATCATGAACCAGGTCAGGTTATCAACCTTGCTATCCTTATGCTGTCTTTCAGAAGTACTTGTACACTTGCAACTCCCCGGTGTTTTTACCATACTGTGTCATATGTCCGCAGATCGCTGGTCAGTTGCTATGGCCCATCGTGCATGACTCCTCGAGGACGGGGCAGCGATCAGCACAAGGAGGGAGAGAACAATGGTCAAAATAGCCTGAAGTAGGACAGGACGGCAACAAAGCGGCGTCGATCGGCGCATGTCGCTCTCGTGGTTCAGGCAACTCCGATGAACTCCGACGTTACTTCCGTCGCGTAGCCAGTTCCTCGGTGCGAGGCTCCCACATCCAGAGTACAAAACAATAGTATTCGACACCTCAGAGCAACTAGGACAGCGATAGTGGGGTACAAAGGGTAATGATGCGGGCCAGTGACTAGGGGAGTGTATATGAACGACGCGAGTAGTAGATGCAATGCCGGCCTGCGCGGCGTATATGCAGAAAGGCAGGACTCGTGAGCTAGGGGGATGGAGGCCGGGGAGGGAGCGTGAGTATGATGTGGATGTGCGAAGGATGGTGAATGCAGCGGAGCGGGGTCGTAATGATGTTAAGCGAGTTCTGTCCGAATATGGCATTTGAGTGTTGATGTTGAGAGTTGAGGAATTGAGAAAGAAGATAATGAACAAAGGGGAGAAGCATCCTCCCAACGAGAGGTGACTCGTAGCAAGCGAAGCTGGCTATTGCACCCCGTAGCCCGCTTACGACGTCAGCGGCGGGCCGTGACGAGCCCATTCGTACACTGAGAAGGTATCCGGCGGTGGGCCTGGGGGTACGTTCGGTACCCAAGCGTGCACCCAGTACCATCGACTGTCGACGGCCAGGGCCATGACAGCACACTGACGCCAATCCCCGACCGGCGAAGTAGTGACTATGATGTTGCCAGTTGAGCCCCATGGCCTCATCTGCGGTTTGCGCGACCACCGAAGAGCATTGGCCGGCACGAGGACAGCCGGAGGCGGCGGGACGTTGGGTACCCAGGCCCATACCCAGCCCCTTGATAGGTCTACCCAACACCATTTGCCCGCTTTGTGCATCTCGGAATGCGGCGGGTTTGGGATGCCTTGAGGCAACTGTGCCTGATGGTGAGGCGCTTGCGGATGATGTTGTGGCGCGGCGGGGGCGACGTGCGTAGCGAGGGTCGCCATCGGTGGGTGCTGAGAGGTTGGCGGCAGTGGCTGGCTACCCCCGACTTGAGGCGAGAATGACGCCGGCGCTGACACGGCGCGCGGCGGCATGCTCGCGGACGGGTTGGGGTACTGGGCGCGAGACGGACCAGGCGTCGCACGCGTCGACGAGCGCGCGGTCGGCGAAGTGATGGGAGCGTTCGGCTGCGTCACAGCGTAGAGTCCGGGATAGTTGATGGTAGAAAGTTTGTGGGCGTTAGATTGCCGCCGGCTGGAGCCTTCCTTGTCGTCGCCGCCCCAAGATCTGTGAGGTCCTAGCTTCTCGGGCATGAAGAGGGTTGTGACGTTGCGGAGGTGAAGGATGAGACGGCGGCGGGCAGCCTGGAGAGAAGACGCATAGCAAGAGGGTGGCTTTATACTGGTGGTGCATTGACCATCTCGGAGCGTGCGGGCAGGCCCAGAGTTAGGCGCGCGACTCGCGGCACAGCACCCTTGGTGACCGAGAGTGGACGCCGAGATACAACACGAGTGAATGTGACAGTTGCTTCCGTCTCCTGGGACGAAATGGAAGCCCTACGGGACGGACTGTATGTAAAGCCATTGCCAGTACGCTTAGATTGAACGTTGAACATGATGGTGCAGTGCAAAGGACAAAGCAAAGGTCGACAAGTGGCGAGTCCCAACCACGACATGCGCGTAAGGCGACCGACGAAAAGGACGAGTCCTGCCATATCGGGAAGCCCTAGGACGCGCATTATCCTGATCATCACCTTTTGAACAGAGTTATCGTCGAGCACGCGTCTCCTGGAATGATACCAGGACCTCATGGGGCCGCAAGAAGCCTCAATGGACCTATACACACCCTAGCGCGTAAGTACCGGGCGAGGATGGGGATACCCGAAACGACCGTGCAGTGCTGCACATTTACGTGTATCCAATCACTTGCATCGTGCAGCACATGGTGCACCTCACAGGACCGCAGGGGACCTATACGGACCGTAGCGTGTCAGTATCAGACGCAACCCAGGGCTGTTCTGACGAGGATGAGGATCCCTGAAACGACCGCCCGCTGCCGCGAGATTACGTGTATCTCCCTGTCTGTCTTTCAGTCAGACTATGAATCGCGTGGAAGGTCACGATGGACCTATACGGACCCTGACTGTGAGAACCGTACGAAGGCGAAGACGTCCGTATTTGTTGAAAGTCGGCGGGCGTTCAAACTGCCGCAGGCTTACGCGTTCCATCCTAGCCATGCAGTCGGATTGCGAGGAAACGCTACAAAGGCGACGGGACCGGATGTCAGATGCGGAAGCAGATAGTGAGGGAAGCCTGGAAAGCCTAGCGTGAAGGGAGCGCCTTGAGCTGGAGTGAATCCACACGGCCCTTGCCGTAGAGCTCACGGCCATCAATTCGGCCATTCAGAATCGTGAAGTAGAGCTGTAGTAGCAGCGGGGCCAGATGCGGAACCAGATAGTGCGCGAAAAGCTGGCGACAGCGTGAAGAACCTTAGCCGCCCCCTTCATCGTGATGGAGCCTTGACCATCAACACCGCGCCGACGTGCCGCAAACGCGTGTTGGCGCAGAGCGACGGTCTCCTAGGCGCTGGAGGACGATCCTTTCAGACTTTCGACAACCTGCGTGATACGTTTCGTCATGAGTTCGGAGGCAGTGTGCGCGAAGCCATCGGGCAAACCTGGGGTAAGGGGTTTGCGAGTTTGCGGGGGTTGGAACTGAGGACAACTCCGTGAGCCAACTCGGATGAGCCATAGACGATCCTCTGAGTACCGGTACTCGACGTATAGTGAAATGCCGCTCGTCATGCAAAGGGTGCCTGGTGCAGCGTTGAGCGTCATCTCGCATGAGCAGGAGAGAGATCCGGTCGTTCGTGGTCGGGCGCAGCACCGCGCGAGTTCCATCGGCGCCTATCGTGACAGCTAGAAGCCCACCGGCGTCCACCGGGCTAGATCTAGATTAATGCATCTGAGACATCCCGACTCACCGAGCACTGCCGCGCACTCACACGTACATTCGGACCGTCAGTTGTGGACGCGATGCAAGACGTAAAGTGCCTTGTGCTGGTCCAAAAGGCCAACCAGTACAGCCTCTTTGAACCTAAGTAGCTGGGAAATATGGAGCCGTTAGATCGGTGTTATCTGGATCGCAAGCGCCTCACCTATCAGTCCACAACACTCTACAGCGCAACACGTTCGTTCGTTCATCTGGACGGAGGTGTCTAGTCGTGTTGATGTTCACTGTGTACACGGCTGTTACCAATACCTTTAGCTTTGACGTTGTTTCCTTGATGGATTGCACGAAGAACGAAGCAAATGCGAAGAACCCAAGAAACCCATGTTATTCCCTGTACGCTACAGAGCGCAGCCCCCACACCTGCCATCCACGGTCTCGGAGACCCATCCTTCCACAACCGACGGGTACAACAGAGCATACAACACGACGCACTCAAATACAGATTACAACATCAACCGACACCACCATCAACGACACTACTTCGCACCAATCCCACGGCCGCGCGGGGCACCACGACCACGGAAGCCGCCGCGGTCACCGTTGATCGGCGCGCCACCACGAGGACGCGAGACAGGGCGCTCGCCGCGCTCCTTGCGGACTTCGACGCGGATGTTGCCCTGCGAACCGTCGTTCGCGTCGATGCGGATACCGTTCTCGCCACCATCACGGAGGGGAAGCGAGGCGGCGATGGCCCGACGAGCAGCGTCGAGCGTGTTGAACTCAAGGAAGGCGCAGGCCTTGGAGCGCACAATTTCAAGCTCCTTGATCGGGCCGAACCGGGAGGTGAGAACCTGCCTCAAGGCAGTCTCGGAGATGTTCTCCTGGACGCTCTACGAATCGGCGTTAGACCAATGTCCTCTTCAGCCAATGTAAGAGCTTACCTTGACGAAGCATTGGGGTGTCGGGGTGGAGAGCGCCTGTTGCATCGCGGGCGACTGATCACTGGACGGAGCGGCAGTAGGTTGCGGCGGGCGCAGGGGGCGGGCTGCGTGTACTGGTGTCTGAGCACCACTGGCCGGCTGCGAGGTGCTGGCAGCCGGAGCCTCACTGGTCCCACGGCTGTCGTGAGCCACCGCAGTACCCCACTTGGTCGCACCGGCAGCCGCGAGGTTTGCCCAAGTCTTCGGCTTTGGCGGTGCGGCCGGTTGTGCCGGTGCAGCCGGCTGCGCAGGTGCGGGAGCGGGTGAGGGGGCGGCGGCGGCAGGAGCTGGTGTCGGCGCTGGTGATGGCTGGGCAGGCGTCGCGGGCTTCTCCGCGACCGGCTCCGGGGCCGGGGTGGGCTCCGGCTTCGCCTCGGGCTCGACATGACCGTTGGCAGCGGGAGTAGGCTCAGGCTCGGAAGCAGCAGGTGCAGGCTCCTCAGGCGCGGCCACAGGCTCGGGCTCGGGCTCGGGCTCAGGCTCGGCTGGGAGGACCTCCGGCTGGACCTCGGGCTCAGGCTCAGCAGCAGCAGGCGCAGAAGCTTCCTCAGCATCGGCAGAGGGTTCCTCGGCAGCGGGCACCTCAGCGCTCGCATCAGCCTCAGCCTCGGCTTCACCGTCCTCAGGCTCAGCAGTGTCCTCCTTCAAGAAGCGGAAGATATCGTTGAGAACAAAGTAACCGTTAGGTTGCTCGGCCAGGAAGAAAGTCTGCGCAAACTTGCGCCAGGCCTCGCCACGGTTGGACATCTCGCCGATGACCTGGATGATGATGCCATTGTTCGCAGACGACTGGGCATCAACAGAGCGAATGAAGACCTTGCAGTCCTCGAACTCGAGAGAAGTAATTTTGTTGTGGATGTCCTGAAGGTCGCGTGAGCAATTATTCTGTATAGAATGATATATGTCATGCCCGGATACGGCAAGTGCATTGACAAGGTCGCCGCGCGTACATCATAGACATTTCATATTGAGTAATTGTGCATACCTGCTGGCCAAAGCTAGGCTCTCCGTCCTCTCCTTCAGTTCCATGGATGAAGGTAGAGGCTTTTGTGTAGAAACAATGCAAGCGGTCGGGGTACTTGTTGACGAAAGTGTAGTACTGAGGCACGAACTGCCAGCCGACCTCAGAGGGAACGACGCCGGTAGTACCGCCAGTAGAGTTGGGTTGAGTGCTCATGATACTGTACAGATGCGATATATATGAACAATGCGATCAAGACGAGGCGGAAGAGATGATGACGCACGAGAAAGCGAGAGAGATTGGAGGCGAATTGAAAGCGAGATCGACAGCGACTTGAGAGCGTCAGATGTTCGGAGTAAACCGGAGAGCTGTATAAAGCTCGATGTGCGAGGAAGATGTCCGGGATGGAGGGTCGGGACGAGGACGACGACGCGCGGAGCAAAAGTTGCTTGGAGAACTCTGTCATCGGTCGGTTTCTCACGTCAACGCGCGCGTAGGTCCTTATAGGTCCAAATGAGCCCCGCTGTGTGGGTTTCACGCGATGTGGTTGGTATGCTATCTCGTGCGTAGATACAAATACACGCACAGTCACGGTGATGATACAAAGATCAATAAATACAAAGATCGGCGGGAGCGCATGCGGACATGTACGTATGTCTTGATCAAGGTGAACTAGATAGCAACTTCATCAACGCTTCCGAGCTCGGTGAACGTTCGAGGAATTCCTGAAGCGTCCACTAGATTAGTCCCCGCCGCAGACATTGAACGATCGAGACGTACCTCCAGCGAGTCTAGCTCGTCGCGACTACTACCCGGTTCGAGTATGCTCTTCCGATAGCGCATACCCTGCTTTGGGTCCAGTGGATCCGCTTTGAACACGGACCAGTACATGTCCGTCGCAAGACTAAATGCGTAGATGTATCCATAGTACCCGGCGTCCATCCCACCCATGATGTGCGGGAACGCCGACTGACCGGGATAGGGCGTTTCTTCTTTCGCCAAGCGAATTCGCTCGCGCATGCTATTCCAGAGCGCGGTCGAGTCCACTGAGTCTACAACTTCTGTCAGTCGAATGTCTTCGCATTTGTCCGCGGAACGTACCCTTGCTGGTATGCAGTGCAATGTCAAACTTGGCGTGGAAGAGCTGATTAAGCTGGAAAAGGCCATGATTGACGAAACGGCTAACGCGGGGCCATCATCGGCTCACATCGCACCAGGACGGCGACGAACGAATCCTCACCTTTTAGCAATTCTATCAATCAGCTCATCGCTGAGAGGCTCCTTCGTCTCATAATGCGATGAGAGCCGCTTCAAAACCTTCGGCTCCCAGCACCAGTTCTCGAGCATCTTTGCGGGGGCTTCTACAAAGTCTCCCGCGACGCTTGTACCATGGAAGCGGCCATACTTGGTCCGCGCGAGCAGATTGTGAAACAGGTGTCCCATCTCGTGGAAGAGGGTAACTACCGCGCTATGGGGTGTCGTCGCCTGCCCTCCCGCGGCCGGATTGGCAAGGTTGGCCAGTAGAGCGGAGACAGGGTATTGGCGTGTGGCGCCGGAAGTCGAGCCAGACAGAAGAGACCACACGGCGGCATGAGGGAACTTATCCGCTAGTCCAAGTTAGCAAAATCATATGTGATGAATAGAGTCGATACGCACGCCGCGTATACAAGTCCAAGTGAGCGTATCCAAGAAACTCATTAGCCTTCGCATCCCAGACGGTAAACGCTTGCGCTTCAGGATGCCACGTCTCAGCATCCTTAACTTCTTCGATGCGGACCCCCAAAAGGCCCTGATAGATCTCCAAAACTGCGGGTACGAGGTGGGAGACGGGAAAGTACTCCTGTACTTTGCTGGAATCGAGCGACAGAGCCGTGCGCAAGTACTTCTCATCGAGGTAACGCGTGTCTTCGGCCTTGTACTCGCCGTCGAACGGAATCGCAAGCGATTGGCAATCTTCCTTCTTGAGCGCGAGCAGTGTCTCCCGCTCTTGGACTCCCACAGGGCGCAGGGTCTGCTCGAGGTCGGCTAGAAACTAGAAGGGCGCTGTTAGTAGGGACTCAGCGAAGAGTCTTCAATAGAAGGCAACTCGCCTCGTCAACTTTCTGACCGCTGCCTATCATCTTATCCTCAGTCACGTAGTCGGCCCATGTATCGTATCCGTACAAAGTAGCCATTTGACGACGGATCTCGACCGCTTTCTCGAGAAGCGGCACGTTGACAGCCAATCGCGACTCGTAGCTACCGTAAGCGCGACGGCGCGTTTCCGGAACTTGAGCGAACTTAAACTGCATGGCGGTTATAGTCTTGGATGTATAGAAACGCGCCAGCAGTACTCACAACAGGGATGATGTCGGGTTGCTTATGAGTAACAGTGTAGACTTCCCGCCCATCCTTCTCGCTCTTGGTATAAGTGGAAATGACGGCCGAAGGTACACCCTGAAGCTCCTCCTCTGTGAAATCAATGGCGCCGTTCTTCGACCGATAGTTTTTCTGCGTCGACGTTAAGCGGCTTTGTCAAGACGATGTAGACAGTGTACTGTTACCATGTATTCCTGTACAGTCTGCGCAAGTGCCTTCTTGAGCTCGGCGAGCTCACTGCGCTTCTGTTCGGATAGATGCAAACCGTTGCGTTTGCCGTCCAGCGTCATTTTGTCCACAAGTCGCCGATCCTCTGCCTCAAGTGTGACACCGGACTTCTCGATGTTGGCGCGCGCTGCTGCTTTGGCGTTGTAGATGTCCACGCGTAAGGACTTGTCCGCGGTGTATTCGTCGAACTTGGTTTCGGCTGCGCTGGAAGCCTCTCGCAAAGCAGCGTCGACTGCGACGTATTGGTAGAAGCTAAGGGTCATCTTCGCGTCGTGCAGGGCCGTATCTCCCTTCTCAAGCGCGACCTGGAGCCGAGCTGTCAGTATAGAGTCACTGTTGGGCTTGCATAGGCACTCACGAAGACAGTTTCGAAGGTGCATTCGCCAGAAGATAAGGACGCGACGTGGTCCTGCAGTTTTCGATCCGCGTCAATGGCAGCCTTTGTAGCAAGCGCAATCTGCTCGGCGGTGTGCGTCCATTTGGGCGCGTCTTGAGAGGGAGGGTTATTTGACATGATTGCTCTGCGAATAGTGCACGGGTTTTGCGCGAAGACATCGAGCCAGGTGTTATACTACTGCAGAAATGACTCGATTCCAGGACTGAATAGGCTGTGGCGATTGCAGGCTGAGTGCCGATCAACTTGCAGGCACGGCATCTCCTGCACTGTAAGCGTCTGTGATCATCTGCGAGGCGGCGGCTGCCTTTCTCACCCAAACAGTGATTTGGGTGTAAGCTGCCGCCCGCATCAAGCATATCCGCGCCATGGCGGGTCAAAGTACAAACGATCAAGGCATGAGGTTTCCAGGCGCCTAGTGCATAGCGATGAGATATAATGACGGTACGTAGAGGTCTTCGAGACACTAGCATGCACAACGCGTCTCTCGGTGGTCGTGGCTCGAAGAGTAAAGAAGGAAAGCCCGATCGAAACGTCCGGAGTATTTGGGCCGCACAGTTCCCGCGCCAGACTCAACGCGAGAGTTGAACTTGCCTCCACCTTCCATCTTCATGGCATGGCGATGTTCGTTGTTGGCGACTGGACTGGAAACGCCATAGGAATCCTACAGACACGTCTGATGTCTTTCTACTCCATCATATCCTGTACTGGCGCGCCTAATACGCATTTATACTCCGTGAGGAAGGAAGAGACCCGGCCGGAACTCGACGCGCGCTCTGATATCAACACCGTGCATCGGCATCAGCTATCCGCTGCTCATCCTCGATGATGTTGCAAGCTGCGCGATTACCTCGCAGACGGACCGTGTACTCCGCCGGCGCTTCGAGAGCAAGGCGTGTGCGCTCCGACTCTCACTTGTGGCAGGACATCGGTTCTACGTAGCTGCGTTTTGGCCCCCCGCCTTCAACGAGGACTCGTTGGGGATGCCGTGAACCTTTGGTGCTGTGAATCAACCGGAGATGATGAATATCGTCTACATGAACTTGACTCGTGAGCAGCCCGGCTCAATTCCTTACCGCTTAACCTCTGCTTCGATCTCTCCACTCCGTTAATAACGCATGGCCAACCTCTCGTTGACTGGTAGATCAAGCGGTTCAACCTGAGTGAGCGGCTTCTCCGTCGGCCGATACTTTCGCAACGAGCTGTTGCACAGATCCTACGTTCAACTTGGGCGTCTTCGCGAACACAAGACTGCCTTGCGATCTTCTCCTAACGATAATGACGCCTCGGCGGTCTCCCCGTCATACCCGGCAGAGTCTATGCGAGGGGCAAACCTCCTGCAATGCTATCCAAAACGTGGCATGGGCGCGGTGTTCTACGGCGCAAAGTGTGTAGATAACCGCCAATCGTTCGGGCTTAGTTCTCCTAGGAAGGGCAAGCACACAGCAAACCCGGTACGCACTCGTGCTCTTTGACACATTCTGCCTTGTTTATAACATGAATACAGCCCGAGTCAGCCATTCATCACCACCGTCGTATCGATCGGCCTTGCAATAATCGAACCGCTGCGAACCACTGCTATCGCGGACCAAAAGCCGAGCCTTGGGTACACTCGACCGGCGGATAAACCAAGACTTCAAGATTCAAGGTTCTATGGGCGTTGGTTTAGACGATTACATGCCTTCAATCTCGGATGTTGTACCCCCTTCTTGAATGCAGTCGCTCCCACAATGGCATGACGGGTGCAGTGGCCTACGCCCATCTTTGAAAGCACTTCCTGACGGCTGCTACCGGTATCGGGGCGGCTTATCGCTGCACAAGAACGTAGATTCCTGGATAGTCGGCCGAGCCTGTGGGGCTCGAAGGCTTCCTTCTTGAGCCTTCGGACACGAAAAGGCATGAACACAGCGCGGCCACCAAAGCGCCAGGTTCCTTCCCCTCTGCCCTTCTGATCGGTGGTCCGTTCTTGCAATGTGCGGGCAAAGATGATCACCCCTCACGCTTTTGTCTTTGTCTTGTCCTGCTCATTTCTTCAGATGTTTTGGCATATCGACCTGAGGATCGACGCGTCGATGAAATCTGGGGAGCGGCCTGATAGCCAGCGCGTAAAGAAAGCACAGGTGTCAGTTGAGAACCTCCCCCAGACCGTCCTCTTGAGCAGTTTCTTTCGTGTGGAGGCCGGCATAAAGCCCCGTATGCCCGAGGGTCGCGTTGGACGGTTGGCCATTACGCCACAGCTCGTCGAACCTGTGCTTCTCTTCCGAACAACAGGCTGAAGTCGCGTGTCGTTTGGTCGTGATACTGGTATCTGGCTCTTTGAAAGCTGTGTCAGAGTGCTCCCTGTTAAAAGTGCACTGCGTCGGGCTTGTATCTGTGCCGCGCCCCCCCACCAACTACAATGGCGAAGCCCTCACTGCCCCATACGTCCTCGCCTCAAACAACTCGTTCTCAGTCTACTGAGTACCCTGCTACCGACAAAAAGCCTGAGCCGCGCCGTAGCCTTCCATTGAGCTCTTCTGCACCCAAGAGCGACTCCTCTCCATCATCCGAGCCCGGTACCGCAGTTGAGGATCGGTTCCAAGCTTCACCGCCGCCAATTCCGCCCGTGGACGTTACAGACGAGTCGAATGCGCCATTTGACGCGCTAGTCAAAGCCACAGCTCGCCCTATCCCTGTCTACCAGGGAGACCGGACGCCAACCAGCAAGCGCAGCCGCCCCAGGTCAACACACTTCGTGGAAGCGCCCTCGTACTGGGGTGGAGTCCAAACAGCACAGACGCCCTACACGCCACGCTACTCTCCTAGATCATTGCATCCCGGTTACACGCTTTCCACTCCTCAGCCCTCACTACTCCCCAACTTGTTCATGCCGCAGGCGTGGCCGGCATCGTCACCTGGTCAAGGAGGCACTGGGTACCACGGCGTCTATCAAAACCCCGCCTTCGCGCAGCCTCACTCCGCGAACCACGGTGTCCACTATGCGAACTCTCTCAGTTTGCAAGGCGTGCCGCCGCCCGCACTAGCCGCGTATACGCCGCCTCCCCCATCATATTGGCCATACCCTCCGCCTGTTTACCCATCTCCGCGTGGCAGCCCTAATGGTGGATGGCATGCGAATGGCCAATACTCACCGAGCCCTGCCGATGGCGGACGAGGCGGGCAGACTTGGCGCTAGTAGGAGGCACGGCCTGCTTCAGCGCTTCGAAGGATCGCTGTCGGCGTCAGCTAGGTGGATCTGATATCCCGTACTGTTTGCTATCCGCTAAACAAAGTTTCAGGATCCTCTCCTCTCGCGCGCACGGGTTGCCTTCTGTTTCTATCTTCGCATTTCTGACCTTCCCGGTCATTCCTCATTCCTCATTTCGTAGTCCGCCTTCCGTCCCTGCCCATTCACGGAATTCCCCCACACGCTATTCGATGGAGCGCTTTGGAAATGCTGTGGTGTTGTGTCGTCCGATATGGTATCTCGCACTCGTCTGCTCGCCATTCCTTTCACGGTCTATTAGAATGTACAACATCTCTCTTCCATCCTTCCCAACGCGTCGATCTTCTGCATGTAGTTCGGCCCGGCGCTTTGACGCGACATGTATTTGGCGCATCTGCTTTCTATACAGTACAAACACTCGTAAAATCACATAGACGCGAAATTTGACAACTCGCGAGAGCGGATTGCATCATCGCCTCTGATCATCTGGCTTGATTTGTTGGAGGGCGCATCTGGAAGGGGCTGAAACTGCCAGACCGGCACGGTGCGGAAGGAAGACTTGCCCATTCAGGACAAGGAATAATGATATTAGAAGAAGCGAAGTTGCTATGCGTCTGCGGGAATGTATGGGCGGAGCTGAAAGCCAGATAGAGTAGATGGAGGATTTGGGTAAGGAGCGATCGGAGAGCAGAAGCCTCGATGACAGCAGTGCGACGAGGAGTGTGTATGGTTATGTAGGGGGGTGTTGTACATGATTTGGCCGGGATGATACAGTGGGCCATGTGATGGGATTATATTGAATGTATGTCCTGTCCGAAACGATGCTATTCCAAGTCCGAAGGAGTGAGAATGCGGGAACATAGGGCCCCACGTATGCCAAACGTATGAAGGGAAGGACTGATGGTGGTGCGAGCGAACACGATGATCAGAGACGTTCAATGACGGTCATCAGCCCGGGGATCCCACGAGCGTTGTCGAGGGCGACAGGACGACCGGGGTCGTGGGCCTTGAAGCTACGTGCAGGACATGCAGCATATTCAATGTGCACCCGGTAGATTCCACTTTTCGGTCCGCGGACTTTACACGACCACCTGCAAACGCCGTCAGCGATGATAGGGTCAATGTACAGGGGACAAGCTTTACCTCTCGTTCATGAGCGTGTTGCCGCCAATCATGCGTACGCGCTCAAGAAGTGCAGACCGCGAAGCTCGCAGGAGAATGCTCAAGTCGACCGCCTTTGAGCAGATAAAGTGTTCGGTATGGATAACCTCCATTTCGGCACATGCCGTATCCTGCGAATCCTTCACGCATGGATGCGAGTGAGGTTCGGGGCCGGAGTCACAAGCGACGACGACCTCTCCTCCTGAGCGTGGACTCAGGCGCTTGACGATGAGCGCGAGGTTCGCAAGGTCGGCAAGGTGCCTGATCGGCGTATTCTGCAGTGAGCGTCTCTTAACCGGTTCGCGCGTGTCGCGGGGTGGTGATTTTGGCGACGAAGGCAAAGACCTGGATTTGCGGGTTGGAGTGGTCTGAGAGGGAGCGGCTGCTGAGGTAGACGTCGAGGTAGAGGCCATATTATTGATGGTGGTGGTGAGAGCGAGAAATGTGTGATAGCGCAACGCGTGCTTGCCGCGTTCTGTACTTATGCCACCTGGGCAAAGTCCGCCGTGTTCGCGACCGCCCGAGCTCGGACTTCCTTTCTACTACATTCATCTTTTGTCTTGAATCATTTTACGGTGTTTCTCTTCATGTCATGGACCTTGATCAAGGCTGTAGGACTTGCCTCTCGATGCTCGCGCTCGATGAGGAACCCCTTTCCCCATCATATGTACACGACCGTGTACCTTGATCAATTGGACTTCGTAACACGAGGCGCCGTAATGCGGTCATAGCCGGCGCTTCTGGGTCTCCAACTCTACCCTGACTGTCATCGTCAACAGCTGTCGAAAGCAATACGCTCTATCCCACCACTGGTCCGAGCTCCCTGGTCGCAGCGTACGCGCAGAACCGCAGCTGTGCGGCCCTGATTCGTCTTCAACGGACATATAGGCCCTGAAAGTCTCACTGGAGCTTGCCACCATCCATGCAGGATCAGGACGAACGCACACCTCTTCTTCCCGAAGCCGAAAGCCAACCGGCGGCAGAAGAGAATCCCAACGCGGGAAAGCCCTTTTGGCGACGTCGCGTACCTCAGTCACTAGCGCTGCTGGGGTCTTTGGCTCTAGTCGCGCTCGCTCTGTACGCACTGGTTTGGCGTTCCGAATCCTCGCATCCGCCAGACTTCCAACCGGACTTCTATCACCACATCAACTTCGTAGGAAACGACATCTGTCCGAGTGTCTGGGGCAATACCAGCTCTTATGCCGGGTATATCGGTATGAAGGGCGACTCGGATGATAAACCCAAGCGTGCCTTCTTCTGGCTGTTCGAAGCACGAGAGGGTGCTGCGACTGCCCCATTGATGTGAGTCGGCGGCGGCGGCACGCTATCGGATGTCTCCTAACGAGCTTTATAGAATCAATGTTGGCGGCGGACCAGGCTCGTCCGGCCTTGCCTCACCTATGATGTCTCCGGCACCTTGCAGTATCGGCGAGAACGGCTTTATGCCCAGTGTACATCATTACACGGACAAGTACAATCTCATTGCCTTGGATCATGTAGGGAACCTATTCAGCTTTATAGTTAAAGGGGCTGAAAAAGATGACAGCCGATCGGGGTCGGATACTCATACGGGACCCACGTCAAGAACAGCACGGAAGCGGCGTATGATGCTTATGACTTTCTGCAGAAGCTCTTTGTTTTGTACCCTCACTTCGCTAGGTGTGTATTGTAGTCTTCCGGGTTCACATCTGCTGAGCATTCGTCATAGGAATCGAGTCGTTCTAATGGGTGCCTCGTACGGCGGCGTCTTTGTACCCTGGATGGGAAAGATTATACAAGAACAGAACCTGCTGATTGCTGAGGGCCGTGGTGCCTCTGGCGCCGCGCATATCAATCTTGATTCCCTAGTCATCGGCAACCCATTCACGGTAAGAGGCCTACCGCGCTGTCCACACGTACCCACGCTCAGTACTCGTGCAGGATCCTCTGGCACACGCCCGTTGGGATCTGCATTATCGATGCGAAGTCTCACATATCTATAACAGTACGACGTGCGCGGAATTGTACGGTGTCCTACCGTCATGTCTCGAGTCCATCGAACTTGCCCTCCAGGATCCAGTTGACATGGCAGGGCGAGCTCGAGCTGAGGAGCTTTGTGGAACTCTAGCTGCTGGAGACACTAACCACACGTCCGTGGAGAATGTCAAACAAGAGGCTGGTCGCATGTGACAATCAACATGGCGATACTGACAACTAGTACCAGTGTTACTCGGAGAACGAGCTAGACTGCTTACCCATTTACTCGAGGATGGATACAACACTCAATGACGCTCGGGTAAAGCAAGCCCTTGGTGTACCGGACGACGTTGCCTACCTCGGCTACAGCCCGACAGTGGCGAAAGAGTTCAGAGGTGATACGTCCGTGATATTTGAGCAGTCGGGTGTGAGGGAACACAAGCTTATTGATGTCTATCTAGCATCTACCCTCATCAGAAATTGCTCGAAGCCCTCATCTTGGAGGGTATACGTGTACTCGGTGAGTCATACCGGGCTTGATGTTCGACGAATGCTCACACAACGCCTCAGTACATGAGGGCATGTTGGACGCGAATTGCAATAATCTAGGGGTTCTCTCATTCGTGAGTGAAGCGGCATAAAGGAAGCGCATGTCGCTTATCACGATGCTCACAGCTCAAACTACTACATACACCCTATCAGGCCGACTTCCTCGCTGCACTCGACATCTCCTGGTTCTACGAAGGCGAGAAAGCCGGCACAGTTCGCTCCGTGGGACCGGGAGGCACGGGTACCCTAACGTATCTTACGATCGACGAGTCCGGGCACAGTCTCGTCGGCGATCAGCCTGCTTACGCTCGTTGGATCGTGGGGAGGTGGATTGATGGAGAAGCGTTCGCGTAGCACGACGCCGCGAAACCCACATGACCGCGTTTCCTTCTCTTTCTCGGAAGCCACAACCTGAAGTTTGAACTCGGGAGCCACAGGAACCAGATCATCACCTCCCCCCTTGTTCTTATTCCTCATCGACGCGTCGAACTTCGAGCATTTGTCGGTCGGCGAAGTTGATCCTCCATAATGAGGTCCACCTCTAAGATTGCAGTCTACTTCCTTGTGTTTACTTGCAACGGGCAATCGTCGGACACTCTGCGCGTTGAGATATGTAACAATGCGACGCATCGCGCGAGGAACGGCGCAGAGGAGGTGTGAGTTACTCGGTTCAACGAGTGTTTCGAGCTTCCTGGTCTATCTAGCCCGGCGGGCCGGAGGAGAAACGTCGGTAATAGATGCAACCACGCTTGTTCATGACCCGCAATACGTGTAAGTTATGCCTTCACACGTCAGTTGCAGGCATTAGCGTACCAGGTTGCGATGACGGCCGCTACGGCCACCCAAAATCCTTATGCGGCGTTGAGTTGAGCGATACAGCGCGTAATGCTCCGAGCTCGATATCTCGGACATTGCTCGGGTTCGGGCCTCATCGTATCAGCCACTACTGGGCAGGGTATATAAATGCGGTTCAGTTCATAGGCTGCATGCATAAACTACGCAAACTCCTGGCCTCGGCGTTCAGCAAACGGCATCGGTCGAACGATAATCGATCCCGTCGTAGCGCCCCTATCTCAACGCCGACCGAGCGTCCGCCATCGGCGTTGAACGCGACCTCTTCTCCGCCCACCATGACTTACCGCATCCTGGTCGGATCGTATACCTCGGATGTGACGACGGTAGAATTCGATCCGGATGCGCGTACCTTGCGTGTAACGTCTGCGCTTACCGTCGGGCACCAGCCCTCTTGGCTCACCCGTCACCCATCGGACCCGACGCTCGTCTATACAGCGCTCGAGCAAGCTGAGGGAAAGATACTAGCCTTCAAGATTAGCCCCGAAGGAGTGGTTTCCGTGCTTGGCGAGGCAGAGAGCGGCGGAAGTGATCCCGCCACCCTAGAAGCCCTGGATGAGGAACTCGTAGTAGGAAACGTACGTGGTCTTGAAACCAGTTGGCAGGCTCAGGCTGATGTCGTTCCCAGTACTCGAGCGGAAACGTGACGGTCATCCCCATTCCGACTTCTTCATCCCTTCATCCCAAACCGACTGCTGTCCACACGCTTCCTTTCCCCAAACCCGGACCGAACGTCGACCGGCAATTGTCATCACATCCTCATCAGATTGCTCCAGTCCTGAGTCGGAATATGATACTGGTGCCAGACCTCGGTGCCGACAAAACGTGGATCTTCGAGAAGCGCGGTGCTGAGTGGCACCGAACAGGCAGTCTGTCATATACCCCAGGCGACGGACCGAGACATCTTGTCTACCATGGTGAGTTCCCAGCACACACCGAGAGACGACACCATTTTGAGTCGATAGTAGACAATGTGGTATATACCCTATGCGAGCTCACAAGCACAGTGTCGACGCACCGGTTAGACACTGTCAAGGAGGACATTCCACCACTTTACCACGCTTCCACGATGTTCACACCACCTTCACCACTCGGCGACATGCTCGCCGCAGAGATCCTGCTGTACCCATCACCCCCCGCTTCTCCTTCGGCTTCCTATAAGCCGCGCTTTCTGCACATATCCAATCGCAACTTCCCGGGCGAAGTGGGTGATCCACTGGCCATATTCTCCCTCGACGACCCGCTAGAGCCCAAGCTGGTACGCGAAACGGCGAGCGAGCTTTCCCACGTGCGCTCGATGGTTGTCTCTCCAGATGGGCAGTATCTAGTGGCAGGTGGTGTCCATGGGGGAGGGGTCAAAGTCTATGCTGTACGTGAGGAAGGTGGCGCGCTGGAGCAAGTCGCGCATTGTGAATTGGAGGGGCCCACGCACTTCCTCTGGCTGTAGACTATGTTGCTTACGACAGGAATAGAAGCATGTGTCCTGGTAACTGCTTACGAAGCCGCTTTGTGAACCATGATCAGTCTTACAATCACATGGGTCTCAAATAAGTATATTGTTTATTGCTGCTAATCAGGTAGCACTCTCAGAGGCAGTAGGTCACGTTCAGGGCTACCGGAGCCTACATCCAATACTGTACCATGAATCCAAGCGTCCTGTACACTCAATTGAGTGGAGGCTCCAAGTGCACTTCGACGTTCGCAATCAACATGCCCTTGCCATCGATGTAGGGCGAATCGTCGTCTTGCAGGACGTTGTCGAGGAGAGGGACACGCTTCTCTCCAGATCCCCAGAACGAAGGTCCGGAGAGTGCCTTCTTCTCGACATCAACAATGAGCGCGCGTGTTGAGTCTGCGCCGTTGTCGGCGGTGGAGGTGGCATCGCGGTGCTGGATAGTCACGCGAGCATACAATGGTGTCGGAGTGCTGTTTCCCTGCAGGCCGAAGGATACGAGCCAAGCGCTGGCCGAGAAGCTTCGATCCACGATGGCGCCGTCGGGCGTGGTGTTGGCAATGAAGGATATGCGGAAGATGCGAGCTATGAAATCGTATACTCAGCACAACTCGATGATAGCATAGACGCTAAGAACACACCTTGCGCGATGAGGTCTACTGAGACGCGACCCATAGCGCGCATGCGCCGCTGGAAGTATGGCAGGTGCATGTCCACCTTGAAAGCTGCTCTCGAAGTTGTGACCGCAATCTTGTCACGCTCGCCAGCGAGAACAACGGTCTCTACCGGGCTCGCCGGTGTCTCAAGTATCGGGAATTGCGAGCGTAGACGGCGCCAAAGGGTATCGTTTGAGGCGGCGGCACACGCGGCACGCACATCGTCCGCGAATGCGCCCTTGTCGGACCAGGGCGCAGTGTGCTCGAGAAGCAGCTTGGCGACGGGTTCGTTCTCGGCAAGGATGGCCCAATATACGAGTGTGTGGCCTTCCACCATGCGCGCGCGAAGGAGGGTGGGGAGGTCCATGCCCTGACCGGCGCAGGCGGCGTCACAGCTATCGATGATGCGTGCCGCCTCGGCGACAGACATGGTCTCTATGCCGGGGCCGCGTTGCACGACATCGCGGAGGAGACCGTGGATCGTGCTCCGCATCTCGATAGCGGACGGGCCAGACCTGGCGAAACATGCGAACAAGTTTCCGAATAGCGACGACGTCGTCTGGTGGGGGCTCTCAACGAGTAAATCGTCCAGATGGACACGAGGGGGAGAAGTAGTTGATGTCGTCGATGCAGCATACGCCGGGGGACCCATCTGTGTGTAACCCTGGGAGGGTGACCCGAGCTTGGGCGATTCGAGCTTGACGTCACCTGCGTCTCCCATGGTGGCCGATGAGAATCGGATTTCATCAACATCCAGCCACGTCCTTATAACAGGCCTAGGAGCGGTACACGTTCCATAGATAACGCCGTTGTAGGGCGTAAAAGCCCGTCTCGCGCAATCGGCACAGCCCGCGTCACGATGGCCGCTGCGCGTGAACGAGAGAATTGAAGGCGCTCAGATAAAGGGGATGAGAATCGCATAGACGGGCTTATACGCCGCGTGAAGTACAGCCCAGGGAATGCCAAGATCAAGCAATAACGTCCACGATTATAAGGGGCTGAGATGCGCGTAGTCAAGGCTCAACAGATGATACAGTCGTTTTCCGAAGCAGGCTTCTGTAACTGAGTCTCAAGTCCCGCTCGAAGGGTTCCCTCCTCATCTATGTAGATGGACCCGTCATCTTGAAGTACACCGTTTGGCAGCTCTGCGCGAACTTCATGACCCCAGCGAGGCGCTACCGCGAGCTCTTGCTCACTGCCTCTCGTGCTCGTGCTGATCGATAGATTCAGAGGCTTCTGCTTGACCGAAGCGGTGCCTCCAGGCCTCTTATCTCTGGTCGCTGCTGATGTCTGAGGACCTACAAGGAGGCGGGCGTAGACGGGAGTTGGTGTGCTGGGAGGCTGAAGGCTGATACCGAGCAGCCAGGCGCCTTCTGAGAAGTTATGGTCCATCGCGAAAGTGGACTTATTGACGATGAAAGATATCCTGAATAATCGCCCTGTTCGTTGTCAATCAGCGATTACCTTCGTCCAATGTGATGGGTACACTCACCATGCGCTATGCAGTCAACAGAAACACGACCAGTGGCGCGCATGCGCTTTTGAAAGTGCGGCAATCGCATGCTGGCAACGAAAGATCCACTTGACGAGCTCAGGGTCACTTCATCGCGAGCACCACTCAGGATGAGGGCCTGTTCCGGGCTGAGCTCGGGTTCGAGTCCGCGATACGACGATCGTAGACGCCTCCATAGAGCATCGTCCGAGGCAAGGGTGCATGCGCAGCGCACTTCATCTGCGGTGACGAATGACAAGGGGCCGCTGCGTTCGAGCAATATGCGCGCTAGTGGTTCGTTGCCGGCCAATATCGCCCAGTAGATGGCGGTGTGTTGTTCGATGAATGGCTCGCGAAGGATTGAGCCCAGGTCAAAGTTCTTCGCGGCACAAGCTGCGGCGCAACTCTCTAGAACTCCCTCCGCCTCTTCGAGAGATAGGGCCGGGGCCCCAGGCGCACGCTGTACAACATCACGCACGAGCGCTTGTGTAGTGGCGCGGACTTGCTTTGACGGAGTGTCGAAGATCGACGACACCGCACGGAAGAAGCCAGATTTCCTAGGAGATGCTGATCCCCCAGCAGCTCGTCCAGATTTGGGGGGTTTCAATCCGGGTGATGGAGGAAACGCCTTTGCGTCCGATATTGTCGGGGTGGCAGAACTCGACAGGCCAGCAGCGGCCACTGCCGACTGATACGAAGGAGGAGCGTCGTCTTCGGAGACGTTGAGTTTCATATCTTTGTCCAGGTCTTTGTCGAGGACCATGACAGCAGGACGCAAGACGTATTGGTGACTCTGAGGCCCATGACACCAGTGCTAATAGTACAAGGCACGAGGCGATGAACACAGCGTGCGGAGGCAAGTGCCGAAGTGACGCGCAAGGCGCGCGCCACCCATTTACCTCCCAACCACCACCATATTTGTGCGAATTTGCCGGACGCCCAGGCCCTACTACAATGAATTTCATTGCTTCTACTTTGCTATTGGCACGGTGACCTACACATGGCCTACGCAAGACGCTCCGTATCCTCAACATACTTCAACATCCGCCCATTGCCCACAGTGCTGATCACCTTGATAAGATCGTGATCCTTCCCACCGATTCTCTTGATGAAGACTAGTACGCCGGCGAAGTATAAGTCGGCATTAGATGGGACGTCTCCTGTCACGTATGGAGCGCCCTCCCCGTTTGCAGCCATCCACTTCAGCACGTCTTCCAACACCGACTGGAAGGCAGAGAGGTTCTTGGCGCGTGCGTCGCCGTGCGACATGACTTGCTCGATAGGGATACCGAAGTCCCGTGCACGCGCCTCGCGGAAGTACGGCCTGGACTCTTCAATCACCAACCCGTACAGGTCCAGCGTGAGCGTCGGGGCGACGTTCATGAGCAGACGCGGCAGGATGTTGTCAATGAACGCGACCTGCAGCGCGCGGGTGTGCGCCGGGAACAAGCTGGGCTTCTCTGGATACTGTTCTTCGAGATACGTGAGCTATCATGATGCGGTCAGCTAAGCACCTCGCCCTGTCCTTCAGTGACACGCACGATCTCTTGGGAGTCCATGATGGCTCGCTTGGTCGCCGGGTCGTATATGGTAGGACAGGTGTACTGAAGGTTTCCCGTCTTGTGCGGAGGGACGCCGAGCTTGCTGAGCACGCCCGCGACATCTTTGAAGTCGACCCAGACCCGTTTGAAAGGAAGCCCCTTGATGTTCAACGCCGCGCTGTTCAATTCCGTGACATCAGATGCGGTGAACGATCCATCCATCGTGAGACCGCGATACTGACCTAGTCTTATAGACATTGGGAGACCAGCTCATGTCCGCTTCGGTCTCACCGTCGCGGAGGATGCGCGGGATGTCATAAAGGACGATGGGTTCGGTCATGGCAGCACAGTCGTGGATGATTCGGGGAAACGAGGGAGAGTCCTGGGCTCAGCATTGCTGAAATCTTCACCCTTTTATACTCGTTCTTATTAATATATCGCGCCCTTCCGAGCTTGTGGGCACCACACGATTGGCGAACAAATATTCGGCAGGGATACCGACCAGTGTCAGCTTGAGCTTAACACCGGTCGCTCACTGTAAAGTCCGATGCATCGGTTCTAGCAAGGCGTAGCAGCAGATCGACATGGTGACGACCAATTATTTGACTTTCTCCGCGGTGAATACTGGTATCAACACCCGCTGTAGTCCAGATAGAATGAGCTGCAAGTCGCGAAGCCAGGGCCGCTTAATTCTACGTGACAACGTGATCTAACATAGGTAGTTTGGCTGGCGGCCATTGCATGGGCACATGGTGTAGTTGGTTTATCACGCTCGCTTAGCATGCGAGAGGTGTCCGGTTCAATTCCGGATGTGTCCACTTTTTGGTCTATATTCTTCCTCCTAGGTCGCGGGTTCCTTTCGTAGCTTATCACCTCAAGGTACCCGAACAGCCGCGTTATCTCAATATGACCATATCATCCTCATGCCCTTGTGTAGTACGTGCGCCTCCTGGCTATTCTATATTGAATTGAAAGCATCATACGTTTTGTGACTGTCAAGTTACGGGCTAGGAATCATCATGATGCTTGACGTGTGTTGCTGTACATGATACCGCGCGCGATGTGGATGTCTGTAATGGCCGGACACAAACATAATCGCAGGCGGCGGTACCCAGAATCAAACTATGGCATAGCCGGCCACTGGCTTGAAGACAATCGGCTGTGCGCTACAGCAATGCCTGATTCTCGCTGACCGGGCCCAGCGAGCCAGGCCTCACCATTAATTGACTTTCGTGGTCCCCGGGCTCGCCGGCTTTACTTATCGGACCCATATGCCAGGCCGATCTTCAGCAAGAGACCGAAAAGGGTGCATGCGCCTGATGGAGCAATCCTAGGATACGTTACAGAGTCAGGGGAACAAGTCACTTGAGGCGAAGTTGATGACGGTCAGAGACCAACCTTCTTTTGATCTCTTCCTCCACGAACGCATGCTTCCCCACACCTCTACCTATAACTACCATCTTTGTCCTCCTCCGTTCTGGTCTGAGACCGGCCAGTCGTTTCTTCGGCGAGCACAATGTCCACGGCTTCGCCGACCGCGTTCTTGACATGGGCTATGCTTTCGTGCTTGGTGCGCCGATCTCGCCTCCATTCTACGCTGCACGGTCGACTGAATGGTCGGGCGGCAGTTCCTAATCTACTTGATATACCATCTCTGGAGCTACGACAGGTTTCGCTGTCTCCTATGGAACTCAGGTCGCCAACCAGGCGCGTTCAAACGCGTAATGACAGTGAGTGGTACTTGCCGTCTCGATTGCGGGGGATTGTGTCCGCGCCCTAGTATGGCGCAGATAGCCATGGGCGCGAAGGGACCATGTGCATGCGTGGGGGATCCTGGTATCTCTACCAGGAAGATTCGGCCCTACGTTCTACCCTCTCCATCACGTTTGGGCCGTTTGAGGCGTCTCAGTCAAAGATCCGCATTCTGATCCAACCCACAGTATTCATATCTTTTGACGACACCACTTCTTCTCGTTTTCAGTGTCGGAATATGCATACTCAAGTATCGAGAAGGTATGTTCATGTTGCCATAGCGGGGCTGGAGTTCTCATTGACGCCACCCATCGCAGGCTTTCTTCTCATACCCAACCCCATCCAGCCGGAGTCCGGCGGGGAACAACATATCCCGCTACTTCCTCCAACAACATCTGTAGGGCTCTCGACCCCAACACCTGTCGTGCTCTGGAGCCCCGAGCATAAGCGCGCATTACTTGCCATGTACTTCGTCTTCAGTATAGGCTGGGCCCTCGAGCAGTATGTTGACCCTTGACCTCAGACGACCGCATGCTGACTGTGCGCAGAGTTACTCATTTTGAAGGTGTGTGTTCAGTCTGTCAGCTATAGATCGGCGTTCGGATGCTGTCATGGCTGGGCGTCCGAGCTCTGAACGCACCGCTGCATTGCCATGGCATGTATCATTGTTGGTTTCGAGCTTACGGTACAGATGTTACCAGCATCACATCTTCCCCCGTCCATCCGTTTGGGGTGATGCTGGCCTACACGCCATCTTCCTGAAGCACTGTGCCGCAGTCACTTTCGAACTTCTTGATTTGCAGGTCTTCATATCTGATCTGTATACTGACTTGACCGGACGCAGAGCTTGCCTTTTGGCTATTCCTACTTGACCAAAAACAGGAGAAGCGGAGCTGGTTCGAGAGCTGGGAGTATCGGCTATGGTACTGCAGTGAGTGCAATCAACAGTGACGGAATAGCCTGTATTGACGTCCCGGACAGGTTGCGTAGTGTCCATCCTCGGCATGCCCCTCACAACGCTTGTCACACGCAATGACCTTGAAACTGTGGGTTACATTGCCGTATTCGGAGCAACGGCTGGACTGATGTCTCGTAGACAGACGCCTGGACATTTTTGGTTGGCGCTGCGGCGTCTACGTTGACGAACATCGTGTTCGTATATGTTCTCTTCCGCTTTCCGGCGTTCCTCCGACACGTTAAGCGTGAGGGTGCCGAGCCGGACGTGGTCGTCCGTCTCTCGATGTTCTACGAGATGAATGTGCGTACTCGATCCTGCATCCGTTACATATCCGCTGACGTTGACGTCGCCAGCTGGTCCGCGTAGTCTTCCGGTTCGCGGTATCCTTGCCGCTGTTTGTTCTTGCGATAGACGGCGTCCAGGGAGATCATTCCATCAGCAACAGCGTGTGCGTGTTGACTGCTTCCCTCTCCCACCCTGACGCTCACACCGGCCCTTCAGGTTCTGGACAGGCAAGACGCATGTTGATGATATAGAGCTCTATACTTAACTCGAGCGCAGACTTTCTACTCATGGTTGCCGCGATTGGACAATTCGTGTCATCTGCTATTACGCTCATGGTGTGTGCGCGCACCTTCCCTCGATGTCATGAGCTCATATTCCTCAGATATTCTTCCCACGGTCTGTGGCACAAGATGCGGGCTATAGGCATAAAGCTCAGACTGCCTCGGGTACTAGCACGCAGCAGACCCAGTCATTCCAAGGCGCACCCTCGAACCGCTCATCGTACTATCCTCCAGGAGTGGCATCTCCGACGTATTCAGTCCATGCGACCCCGACGTACCCACCGACCGCAGCAACTTCGCCCAGCAGTACAAGCCCTCCACAACCGCCACCGTTCCTCTTCCGCCCCTCTCGCCCGTCACTTCAGCGCGACCTGAGCATCGGATCCGCTCGTACTCCGGCGCCTTCGGAGATCCTCTCGCCCATCTACCGCGAAGAAGGCGTGCCGATCCCTGACGAAGATCATGACGAAGAGGCTCCGAGCTACTTTGACACCGTGGGCATGCATCGTCGCCACAATCGTCGGGGGAGCACGAGCAAGGGCGTTGACTTCGACCTTCCTGAAGAGGACGAGGATCTGAATAACGGAGACGGGAGCGAGATCCCGTTACCCAGACTCATGCGAACTGAGACTGTGCCCAGCAGCACTGCCAGGTTCGTGGGACGGGAGATGCGCGCCAGTCGGCACGCGAGTGCGGCGTCAGGCTCAAGTCTGCATCCCTATGTGCGTTCGCTCACTCTGCCCATGACGTTTGTAAACGCTGATGCGACTCTCCTAGGTCGCTGGCTTCACTTCTCCCATAGATCTCGCGAGCGTATCGCGTTCACGGCTCTCAGGACACATCTCGGGGCGACTCGCCTAGCTCCCACAGAATATACCACCCTGCTCATGTTACTGCTCAATGCTTTCTTTTTTGTTCGCTCTGCTCTGCTGTCTGTATCCGCCTATGCGTGTATCCCTTTGTGTGTATATTTACCAAGATCTTTGTATAATATGATATGATCATACGCTGCGTCGCAGACATGGCGAGACAAGAGCGGGTGTGGGTGTAGGATGGCACGGGGATTGGTATAAGACATCGCTACAATCAATAGTCCGGGGTATGAATGTCGGAAGCGGTAGAGAGTAGAGCGAGCGGGTAATTATCAAGCCCTCATGTGAGCGTAACTTTCTCGGTCGACTTGGTCTCGCTGTGCTTCTTCGAGAACATCTTGGACCAAAAGCCCAGTACGGGCACCTCGAAATCATCATCTGCAGTGCGACCGAGGATGAGCTTGCCGTCGCGAACCTCGCACCGCACGTAGTCAGCATGCTCATGCTGATCGGCCATGGCGCCTTTACCGACAAGTAGAAGCGTCTCGGTCTCGGTCGTGCGCAGGGTGCGCAGGTCGCGACTGAGAGCATCGCGCAGCTCCAGTTTCCCCTTCTTGAAGTAGAGTTCGACGACACCCATGAAGCCTTGAGGCAAGAACAGCTTTGTATCGCCTTCGCGGGTAGAGATCGTCAGAAGAACATCCAATCCCGCGTGTGAGCAACGCACCTTCTTTGTTGTAGATGTCGAGATCGAAGAAGCGCCCTACAGTCTTCTCCTGCACATCGACTCGCACTTCGCCCGCCTTGGTTGTGATATGAATGACTCCCTTGCGAGCTTCATCGCCTGGTCGGCCAATGATGGCTAGATTGGCTGATATAGGTTTGTCGGTCGTCTCAAGAGAGAACTGAGGCGTATCGCCCATGGCCTTGCGATTGCTCTTTGGACGCCTCTTGCTGTGCTTGGGCGCTGCACCTATGGGCACGAGACTTGGGTCCAAGCGCCAAGACCCTGAAGCCGTCGTGTGAGTGCTCGAAGACTTGCGCGCATGCTGCAGGTAAGACGGTCTCACCAGAAATGGGATCCCGCGGTGAGTTGATGTGCAAGCCGTTCACGACTGGTGCATCTAGCAGCGCGTGCGGTCGCGAGGAATCGGATCGCCGTGGAGGCGCCTCAGATAGAGCACGTTGTCTCGGTGGAGAGGATGCGAAAGACTCGGAGCGGCGGTACGTCGTTTCTACGGTAGGTGGGCGGGGAAGTGATTTATCTTGATCAGGTCTACCCGTGTCGTCCTGAATCTCGGCTCGGTGGCCGTCCATGGACACCATGGAGCGACTGTGAGGTATCGTTGAATGGTAGAATGACGGAGAGCTTGGCAGAGAGCCTGATTGCGGCATACTCCCGAGGCGAGGAGGAGGCGAGAGCGAATTGGGAGGGGGTTGTCTGCGAGAACCGGAGGGTAGAGTGTGTGCCGCGAAGCCGGACGGCCCTGGTGCGGGTGCAGGTAGACTCGATGAGGACATGGACGGGCTACCAGCCCTAGGATCGTCCTCCATGACAAGTGTATACGCCGGAGGCGGTAGTGGAGATTCCTATCACTGTATCAGACCAACGCAAACGACATCAACAGCCGAAGAGCATGCTCACAGGGTGCTCGCCATTGAGTTCCTTGCTCTTCTCGCTCTTCTCGAGAGTTGGAGGCCACGGTGCTGACGCCTGCATGATGGTGGTAGTTCAACAAGAGCTCGCTGGCACGTTGAAGGGAGATCATGTCAATATACACGCCCCACATATACAGTGAGCGCCGATTGCAGTGATGAAGGCTGTTCCGGTCACATAGGCGTAAAAGGCCGTGCACTCAGGCTGATGCCCGCTGTCAATTTAGAAGTGCACGACAGCCAAACGACAGCAACCCCGTCATCCCGTCATCTATCTTCTGAAAGCTGTCTCTTGTATCCTGAAGTAATCGGTGCAGCGCTCGCACAACATAAACACCAGTTGAGAGTACAAAGGAATTCGATCAATCAACGAGTTTGATGCCAGCCCCTGTGGAATCCGGGACATGCCGTCGTCCGGCGGATGCTGATCGCGGCGACAACCACCACCACCACCACCACCATCTTAACCTCAAGTCCTGTATCTCTTTCATCGCTTGATCCTCAACGCTTCAGCAACTCCCCATGCGTGCCGGGCATGCGCTTGAATTCACAGACACGTGCTGCAGTATAGTCCTGCGTAGCGTGAGCAGGGCGATACAACACGCGTACGGTCCAGGATAATATTAGCTTGAAGCATCCGCCTGAATTCCTCCCTGTTGCTTGGCGCCCCTGTCTGGATCAGACCTGCAGGGTCTCCAGATTATATCTGGCTGGGCGTCGTACGATCAAGACATCTCAGCGACCGAATAACATCTGATTTATTGCGTCCGCAAAAGGTGACTGGGCACGCGCACGGTCGTACACCTTGACCCTCCGTGTCTAGCCATCCCCGTGCAGCGGACGCTTTACTCATACACAGCGAGTTTCGACAATGTCTTTCTTTCTGCCTCAATCAATTGCGCTCCGCCTTTCTCCGCCTACAGCCAGTCGGGAACACGTACAACTTGAGTCGTCTCCTCGTGCTTGTGGTCTTGTATTCGGGCAATGCGTGTCCTTCGGCCCTGAGACAGCGCAAACCAACTCAAATCCTCCGTAAACACCGAGATAGGAGGAGGTGTCTTTATGAAGACTCCTGATAATCGGACTGGGTATAAGAAGACCTTAGTGTGCTTAATGTGCTACAGCAACCGACTTCACTCGACCAAGTTCTTTACCTTCCACGGACAAGATGTTCTCGGTCCTTCGCATCTCCGCTATCTTTGGGCTCATCGTGGCTCTTCTCGTCACTGCGACTCCGGCGCCTCAAAGCTCCGAGCTCGAGCAGCGTGACGAGAGCTCTCTTGAGTAAGTCGAGTGACACGGGTTTTGGCGCACATTGTTGACAGACCTCCAGGAAGCGTTTCCCAGGACCATTCCCGTACTGCTGGCAGATTGATCCGTACCCTCAGCCCGGCCGCAAGTGGTGTGGGTATAGGTGGGGGAACATTCCGTGGCAAGTCTCCTACATCCTCCCCTTTACTTTCGCAGACAGGCTCATTGGCTTTGCGATCTCGTTAGGTGGGCAGTGCCGTGGGACGTAATTCCGTACGAATACGTCCCATTTGGTGGTATCAAATGGTACGGGGCACGCAACCCCTGGTGCGTCTCACGTATTGTCTTCATTCTGTACTTTTGCCCATTCTCCTCAGGTGCCCCAACAACCCGAGCCGTATCTGTGGACCCCCTGGCGGGCCGCGCCCCGCGCCCACGCCGGCTCCTGCGCCTCCCCCTCTGCCGCCCTTCCCTTTCGGGCCTCTCTTCAACCTTTTCGGACCCGGTCCGACGACGACGGTTTTCGTTACAGTCACTGGCACGGCCACTAGCACGGTCACCAGCGTGCTCCCGCAGAGGACTTTCCCTCCCGGATTAATCCCTGGTGCCGCACCGCCCGTGTAAGCTCACCAGGCACATCTCTGTGTAAGGGTGTACACAGTACGCGTCTGCTTTTGCAATGGCTTTTTCCTTGGGCACTCCGATGTGGTCTGATGTATCAATACATGGTGTGAATGGACTTGTACGCCTTCCTCCATGTAACCGCTTCTACTTGTAACACTATCTCTCAATATTGTACCCTGAATCTTGCTTATCATGTTGCACCCACGTTCTCTCTTTTGCGGCTGGGTGTGAATCTTCAGGTATGCAATTGTCGCCCCAATTTCTGACGGCCCTCTTGTTGACGCTCATTTCGATCTCTACCTCTCGTATAATCCAAAGCGCATGTTTCCCGGCCGTCCCACTTGATCCTCGCCACCTGAATTTGGTGCAATCCACCATGTCTACCAACTGGTCGATTCGTACCGGCGGTAAAACATCGCGTGGCGTCACAAAATCATCACGCGTTTCGTGTCGCGTCGACAGCGTGATGACGCGTCACGTCGTCTTGCCTTCTCCCCCCATCTGCTCAGCCTGCACCGGTTTTACTTCTATCTACCGCACTGACACCTGTCCCCGCCGTACCTATATTGTCTCAATATGCTCGCATGCAGCCTCTCGTCCAAGCTGACTTTCATTGGACCATCTGAAGTTGTGCATTGCTTCCGTCGGTAGGTTGAGAACAGCATTCGCCCAGGAAGCCCTCGTTCGAGTATCTGATCTCCAGTACGTTTACCGGAGCTCTAATGGTATGAAATCTCTATATGTGAGCCATTGCTTCATCGCTGGTGGTTTTTTGTCTAAAGCCCTTGGCACCTATGCGTGCTTGCACCGACTCCGCGATCGCCACCTGACTTATCAAGTGCAGCGCTGTCTCACTGGATACTCCGGTGGTTCGCCCCTTGTGCGTAGCTGATCCGCGATGGTCATATGTTACTGAGACTTGACTTGCATTTTCTCCTGTGGCAGTGCTCTGCTGCCCGCCAGTAGTGATCTCTATCGAACTCCTCAGCCCTACCGGACGATATAATTCCATTGATTGAACGTCTTACTATATAATATGCAGCAGCTTGAATTCAATATATCCGGCAAACGCACTTCGACTCGGTGCAGGCAGTCATTTCCTTTCAGGCATCATGTTCCTCTCTGTCCCATTCACCGCCGTCGCCCTTCTTCTTGCCGCTCCTACCTTCCCTTCGCCAGCCCCCGGGGTCGAAAGCCTTGAAACGTACGTCACTTCCTTTTCATGACCGTTTATGCACCCTGACCTTGTTTGCAGCCGATTGAGTGTCTTCATCGGCAATGACGCCGACGTTCTTCAGCGCAACTTCGACTTTGCGGCCTCTCTCAACGACTCACTATCTTCCTAACCTAGTAGTGGCACCAAGGTCCGAAGATTATATACATGCGCGTGACGGCTATATCTTCACATGAGTATCCGCCGCTCACTGCCAGACGTGTTGACATAGACCACTGTCGGCCCTTACAGCGGCTCGCATGCGCAGTGCTGGAAGAAACACACCCGGCCTCAGCCGGGACATCGCTGGTGTGGCTACCAGTGGGGTCTGGTCCGTCCTCTTCATGATCAGCGCATATAACTCGTGTCGACGTGTCATCACCGAACAGATACGTCATTTCTTGGGGTCACATCGACTTTAAGTACATCCCCCGGGCCGGCATTCAGTGGTACGTGCCACCAGCGCACACGAAGACCTCCACCTCGACGACGACGACAACTACATCGTCATCGACTTACTTGACTGCTGCGCCGCAGAGGACTTTCCCGCCGGGATTCATCCCGGGCGCAGCGCCTGCGTAGAAAGTGCAGGCTTTCTGACCGATTTGACCGCATTTCTCTGCACTGCCTCTACTCTTCCTCACGACTGATTATCGATTATGTATCCTTGGCGCGATGTCAAATTACTATCCTGTGAACTCTTGCTGCTCGATAGAACTATTTTCCCCGTTGAATGATCTGTCATCTTGCGGTATGTGTACTCCATGTGCCGCAATGTCCTGGTCATGTCGCTCACATCGAGCTACCGAAGCCAGCCGGGCTCGGTTGAGTAACCGGGCGCCTCGCACAGTCTTGGCAGCTATGCAAAGCGGGCGCCAATCAGGTTGCGGCGAAGCACGGGCGCCTAAGCGCTTACGTCGCGGTATGCGTTTCCGACCCCTCACAATCTTGCTGTGGTCTTCCATGAACGCGGCATCTCCGCATCTGACTATCCGTAACGCCTGTCTTTGAATACCTCAGAATGAGAGTTACCACCTAGCGGTGGAACGACCTTGCAGACAACGGGCCGCCATATCGGGTGATTGATGGCCACATAATGAGCTTCGTTAGAGCGTTTGATTTTCAGAAAACGTCCGTTCGCAATGTTGGTTTCGCCACGCACGCGGCGTAACTTTACCGTGATGTTCTTATACGCCCAGGCGCCTGCCATGGCTGTGCTCTCGTTGGGCTTCTCCTTGTACCACCGCGATGCAGTCGTCTCGCAAACGCACGACTGATCTACCTCGCCCTGCTTCGTCGGACTGGCCAACGGACAGCAGCAAACGCAAGGATGCTACTCTGCATCTTCCATGGCTAGGCCGCTTGACTGCTTGTCTACCACGCCGACTGCAGTCCAAATATCTGCTCACAGCTTGCGCGCTTATCGTTACCATATTCTGCCTCCTGCTCCTCGACCCCGTACGCTCAAGAACGTCACGGGCCTTCAGCTACATGCGCGGCGACCCGCCCGACTATCATGAGTGGCACGAGCGCGAAGTAGCACTACCACAAAACAATCTGGACCTGCCTCCGCCGCAGGGAAGGCAAGGGCGGTATATCCGCTTCCAAAATCACATAACCCGTGAGTGCATTTCTACGCCCATCTCTCGATCAAGCGCTGAAGGCGACAATGAAGATGTTGGATGGGGTAATGCGATGCAAGAGATGATAGTGAATAACCACTTGGCCTATCGGTCCAATAGAATGTACGTGCCACGCTCTACTTCTCTTCGTCGCTGATGCTGACACCGGCTTATAGATTTACGATGTATAATTACACTTGGGACAAGTACACTAAGCGCGACTACTCCACCTTTGGCGACAAGAAGATACCCGCACGCATCCCCATCTCTGCGCTCGTCTCCGGTGCGTTCCGCACGACTGAGAGCTACAATGCCCTTCATCACTGACATCTGCGCTAGGTCCGTTGGCCGGAGGCGAGTACCCGGTGGGTGACTATCGCCCGCCCGCCGTAACGTCGGAGTTCTTCGACGAGGTTTGCCCACATCCCACGGTTCTCTCAGTCGAGTCTATCCGCTCCGAGTACTCGATCGGCTGGGACTCGGCCGCAACGATGTTCGACAAGTACACGGCTGCACTGAACGCTGTCAAGGACAACTGCGTCGAGCTCAAGGACGAAAGTGGACAGATCTTCGACTTCTGGATCTTCGGGTCGGGAGCACGCATGGCGGATGCGTGGCCACAGCTCATCTCATCACCTGTGCTCACAGAATGGGCATGGTCTCCGCTGGTGACCAGCATCGTCACCCGGAACGGCGCTCTCATCCACCCGGATATCGGTTTTCTAGATGTTCGCCGGCGCCTTAGCCTCAAAGGGTTGCTCGCTGTCCATCTCAGGAGGGGCGACTTCAAGGGTCACTGCGAGAATCTGGCGGATTGGAGGAGCGAGTACAATGCCTTCAACGCGCGACCAGACTTCCAGGATCAGTTCACGATACCACCAGGCGGTGGTGAGGGCAAGCATACGGACGAGACACTGAAATGGTACATGGATCACTGTTTCCCGGACATCCCGCGTATCGTAAAGCGGGTACTCGAGTTCCGCGCGGATGCTGCGATACAGGGAAGGTCACTGGAGAGGATATACATAGCCACGAATGGAGAGCGGGAGTGGGTGAAAGATCTCACTGATGCATTGAATAAGACGGCTGCGTGGAAGAGTATAGCCACGAGTCGAGATCTGGTGCTTAATCGGGAGCAGGAGTTCGTGAAGCAAGCGGCGGATATGTTCGTTCTGTCGAAAGCGGAAGTGTTCGTGGGCAATGGGGTGCGTAGACGTTCTGCATCCGTCGAGATTTGACTCACGTACGCGTCCAGTGGTCGAGCTTGAGCTCGAATGTTAACCTCCTACGGATGGCGCAGAAGCAAAAGCCAGAGACGTCGCGGTTCTGGTAGCATCGACGGGAGGGCATGAGAATATGTTGGACCCTGGCCGAACAAATAACACATCTTGAATATAATTGACTCACTGTACTTCTGTGCTTCTGTGCAACCCATACTTCATCACCAGTCTCCGAGTGCCTAGGGACGCCGAACATAGGCTCATGGCCGTGGGTGCCTGAAGCGAGATGCGTGCGAACAGTGGCCCGCGTCATGCACAGTACCGCGCGTGCCGTGCAAGGCATTTTGGCTTCAACCGTCCTGGCCGGGTCCGACACATTAATTCTATACCGCGTCATGCAGGCTGTCATCGACCGTCTCATCCCTTTCCTCCATGAAGGCGACACCGATGCTGCCATATCCATCGTCGACGGCAAAGCATAGGCGTACACTGTCGGCCGTCCCGTCCTCGGGCCTGATCGCATCTTACCTCCCGCGTCGACTGCAATACCTGCTCATTCTCCTCGTGCTTCCGACCTGCTTTTGGCTCCTCTATTCGGACTCGGGAGATGATGTGGGTTTGCGGAGAATATCCGCGAGCAGCTTCGTTCGCGGTGGCGACCCGCCGAACTACTATGAGTGGTACGAGCAAGAGAAGGGCATGCCGCAGAACAACCCGGACCTCCCACCACCTCAAGGAAGAGAAGGAAGGTATCTGAGGTTCAAGAACCACCTAACAAGTACGCAACACTGTCAATCCAACTTAACTGTGGCCTCAACGATCCACAGCCGTAGGATGGGGTAACTCTATGCAAGAGATGATTGCGAACCATCATCTAGCATATCGCACGAACAGAATGTAAGACCTCGCACACATCTTTCTCTACACACGCTGAAATTTCTTTTGGTAGATATGTGATGTACAACTACACTTGGGACAAACACGCTGAAGGCGACTACTCTCAATTCGGTGATCACAAGATCCCGGCGCGCATCCCCATCTCAGCGCTCGTTTCAGGTGCGTGTCATGTACTGATTGCTAGCAAGTCTTGCTCACTGTAGCCTGGCAGGCCCACTCGGCGGAGGAGATTATCCGGCGGGTGACTGGCGTCCACCAGCGGTGACGGTAGAGTTCTTCGAGCTCGTCTGTCCGCATCCGACAATCGTACACGTTGACAACACAAAGTCGGCCTTCTCAGAAGCTACCGCTGCTGCGATCTTCGACGCATTCGTAGCCAAGTTGAACGCGATTGAGGACAACTGCGTCGAGCTACAAGAGAATACCGGTCAGGTTCTTGACTTCTGGATATTCGGCTCGGGAGCGCGCATGGCGGATGCCTGGCCGCAACTACTCGCCTCACCCGTCCTGACTGGTTGGGAGTGGTCCCCCCTTGTCACATCAATCCTGATGCAAAACCGCGCTGCAATCCATCCTGCGATCAAACTGTCCGATGCACGGCAACGGGCAGAATTGAAAGGTCTGCTCGCACTGCACCTGCGGAGAGGAGACTTCAAGGATCATTGCGAGAACCTCGCAAACTGGCGAAGTGAATACAACGCCTTCAACGTGCGACCTGACTTCCCTGATCAGTTACAAGCACCGCCGGGTGGTGGTGGCGGGGCCCACACGGACGAGACCCTTCAATGGTACATCGACCATTGCTTTCCAGGCATCCCGCAGATCGTGAGGCGCGTCAAGGAGCTTCGTGCGGACGCAAACAGCCAGGGGCGTACTCTGGACAGAATATACATACTCACCAACGGAGAAAGAGAATGGATCAAGGAGCTGAAGGTGGCGTTGGGGGAGGCGGGGGAGTGGAAGAGTATTGCAGCGAGTCGTGATTTGGAGATCGACTGGGAGCAGGAGTTTGTCAAGCAGGCAGCGGATATGCTCATCGCGACTAGAGCAGAGATCTTTGTGGGTAACGCGGTAAGCCTTCACACCTGGATCATGTTTCCGGCTTCTGAGACGCCTACAGTGGTCGAGCCTGAGCTCCAATGTCAACCTCCTTCGGATGTCACAGAAGCACGCGCCAGAAACGTCGCGTTTCTGGTGATCTGCTAGTTGGCCATAAGGGTCTCCTTGTCTAAAGGCCGAGTACTTCATTGGACATACGCACACGACTGCCTCTTGTATAGATCTCACGGGCCACTAGCGACATGGACAAAGGATGCTGGGATGCTATGATACAATGTTTACATATTGATGATGTATACAATCGTTAACTCTAAATGCGCTCTTCGCTGCTGAGGATGTCACGCATCGCGCCAGAGCCTGTGGTTTCCTTGAAAGGTCCTGTGCTTGCGCCACTGCTTGCAAACTGGTTCCCGCTTGGCTGCTCGCGCTCTTGCTGTGCAGCGTTCAGCTGGCGGACAGGTGTCGACGCAGTCGCCGAGGTCGTGAAGTTATCACGCCCCAAGTTCTCGTCGCGTGTGTCACCGCTTGGCTCGTTGAAGTAAGCTACGAGTGGATGTTAGGTTCTGAGAGGGGTGCAACCTAGAATACACTTACCATCACGTTGCTCGCGGTCCGGCACTGCGCCGGCGTTGCCGCCGCGGATGGAAGACGCGCCCATGGGTGCATTGTCTTGCATCGGCGGGGATTGAGTACCCGATTCGCCGCGCGCGAACTCGGCTTGCTGGTTCTGGGACATGACGGTTGGTAGTGGGTTCGGAAGTGGTAGTAGACGTGAAGTGGTGATGGGTGTTGCTGGTCAAGCCGATGCCAGACACAAGCTATATATGCGGACGACGTCAGAGAGCTCCAGCTGTGGCGCGCACGGCGTTTCGCGTGACGTCGTTTTACGGCTCGAGCCTCGCTACGGCGTCTCGAAGGAGTACAGTTTACCCAGAAGAAGTTCGACGTATGATGTACGCGAAGGCCAGGCCCACTCTTGGGGTACTAGGTGAAGATAAGCAGGGAGTTATAGTGGCGCTACAAGGCGCGGGTGTGAGCGGTCGAGCTCGGAGGTATGGACCCATAAGCGCCCACATGACGTCGCCGGTGACCCGTAGCTGCAAGTACCAGTACAGTACGCAACTAGTAGCATTCCGAAGCTCGCAAGTAGTCCGACACACATACAAAATCGTTACTAGGTCATACACGAATGCGCTACTCGTACAAATACATGCATATAGCCAGGGTTCATCACCAGGTCGCCGGTCCGAAGGTCTTGCCCTCGGGCGGGGTGAGGAGTGGCAAGCCCGCAACGTCCGCGGTGTTGAACGCTGCGTTGTTACCCCACCAGGAAAGAATTGAGCTCTCGCCAATAGTGCCGTTCCTCGGGTACTGGCGCTCGTTTCAGAAGGCAATATCACTCGTTATGATGGCAGGATGCCTACCTGGAGAACAAAGAAGATGAACAGCGTGCCGATAGCGAAGCCTGAATCGAGGCCTGCAGACAGTACGTAGTTGTACTTCGACCACCTTGCGACAAGGTCAGACGAGTTTCCGCGTACGTGAACCAGTGCAAACTGTGCGACGTACCAGGCGAAGTTACGCCGACGGATCACATAGTTGAAGATGAAGCCGATGAGGATCCACGGTATGTAGTTCAGCGGGGTCGCGGGTGGGAGGTTACCGGTCCCGGTGAAGATCACAGGCTACAAGGCGGCCTCGTGAGTTGCGTGGTGATGGACGGCATAGCTAGCTAAGCACTCACGAAGTTCAAGTACTTCAGGATGTTGAGCTTGAAGCGCTTCTGGACAGCCCACTGAACGAGGGGGGCGACGAAGCCGATAAGGAAGAAGAAGACAAGGGGATAAAACATCTGCCCATGCGAGAACTGGCGTGCCGGGCCAATCACACCCCAAATGATGGACGCCGTGCCGAAGACGGTTGTGCCGGGGCAACTGAAGCCGCTTGGTTGGTCGGAGCTGCACATGTCTGGAATATTCGTGAACATCCAAGACTGAGAGCGAGATGTACAGTATCAGCATAGCAAACGATCAAAGACTGGACGAGCGGCCATACCTGAACGCCGAGCTGTACTGTGCCCGCGATCACGGTTGCGACAACTTGACAAAAGAACATCTCTGCGATATGTTGTGAGATCTCAACAAGCGCCCACTTCGATCCGTAGATGCTTACGACGTGGAGGAATCTTCATGTAGTGGCCGAGTTTAAAGCTATACAAAGGTATCTCAGAGGAAGTTCATATGGAGGCAAGGTTCGAACACCGCTTACTCGGACGTGAAGTTGAGTGCTTGAGCCATGGTGATGTAACCCCAAGCTGGAGAAACAAAGTCAAGGCGCTAGGCTGCATAGCAACAGGAGCGCTCACTTTTGAACATCATCATGGCGATGGGCCGTCCGGGGAGCATGTAGCCAATGATCAACTCGGTGATCACGTCTGCAAGAAACTCAGAACAGCGCTAACCGTCCTTATTGCCGTTTTCGAGTCAATTGGCGGAGACGCGCCGCGACGCGATTTTCCCGCGCGTCGCGCATCTTCCGACCTGCATCTTCCGCGGGGCGCTGTACCCGCACATACCTGCCGATCTTCTTGATTCAAAGTGTCACGTATATGTATGTGACGGGGCTAGGGCGCCCCAGCAGAAACGAGACGATTTGACCGAGTTTGCGAGCAGCTGCCATTCGGCTGGTGCGAAATGGTCTGCAAGCGATACAGCGACAAGGATGCCGCGTTCGTACGGCTTTGAGTGCTCGGGGGAGTCTTATGGACATACCTGAGGGCGCCCCATGTGTAAGATGGTGCGGAAATGCGTAGGTAGCGAGAAAAAGGGCAATGCTGGATACCAGCAGCTCATCGACGAAAGACTGGTGTGAACACTCTATACTGGCATTCTTGACACTCTATACTGTAAGAGATAACGCACTGCTAGTATCATCATACAATCCACGGCATGATGAGGTCAGACCGGCCTCAGATGAGCCCTTGGAGGGCGAGATAGTTTCAAAACGTTGTTTGGCTTGTAAGAGGTCGATCAATGGATCGGGACTTGTTTGCATATCATGAGCAATTGGAGACGACTTCGAATGTCAAAAAATATGCATTCCACTCTATCCGGGCACTCTACTAGCAGGAGTTCGTACAATTTCAATACAAACGTGATACATGTCACCAAATCCGGCCCACTGCTCGATGCCACCTGTTCTGCGCATTTCCGCACCATCTTACACATGGGGCGCCCTCAGGTATGTCCATAAGACTCCCCCGAGCACTCAAAGC